GGATAGTGAAGGGCGGGGTATAACTCCAATCTCTTCTTCTTCTTCTCCCAGATTAGGGTGCGCGCACTTAACCACTACCGAGCACTTAACCACTACCGAGCACTTAACCACTATACCAAACTGGAAGGGAGGAATCATCTGAGATCACTTCCTGCTCTCTGTGTGGAGTTGGAAGACATGCCCCTGAAGTGCTAGAGGTTGCTGCCGGGTGTGATAGATGCAGCTGAGGTTTCACACAGTCCTATCTGCAGACAAGCAACTGGAATTGGGGGGGGGGGAGTTAAATAAAAAGGCCATTTCCATCTGAGGTCAAGGCAACTCACGTTCTCCAAAAACACCAGAAGAACCATAAACCTTTTGGCTTACATGGAGCTCTTCTTCAGACTATAGTAGTCAACACCCAGGAAGAGTTCAAAGTAGAACCTCATGTTGCCTCTTTGGAGAGCTGTCCAGGTTGTCTGTGTGCAGCAAGAACAGGAGGGCCGCGCCAAGCGTGAATCAAAAAACAAAAGCCAATTGGTGCAGCGGGAGGTAGGCAGCACATTTCCCCTTATAGCTCCCCAATGGGAAGGGCCCGCCGTCTCTTTGAAATGAAAAAGTGGGACTTCAGAATGTCCGAGCCGTGCAGTAGCAGTTAATGATCTATAAAGCAGAGGTCCATCAGTGGCTATTAGCCACAAGGTATAGATAGGGACTCTGGGGCAAGTGATGCTCTGTCATCTTGGTCCTTGGGGGGGTCAACAGTGGGATGGCTTCTAATGTCCTGGCCCCACTGGTGGACCTCCTGATGGCACTGGTATTTCTGGCCACTGTGTGATACAGAGTGTTGGACTGGATGGGCCTTTGGCCTGATCCAACATTGGCATCTCTTATGTTCTTAAAGGAGGGGGGGAAACCTCCAGAGGCTTTCCAGAGCCCCCATAGTTGAAAAATGCAGTCTTGCTGTGCGCCTACAGCCATTAATGAGACTGATTTAACCAAGTTATACACATCAGTCATAAATCCTACCCTTCAGTGTTCACACACCGAATTAGTGGTTGCTGGTCTGTTTGGATTGGTGTGCTTGGTTTTGGGGAGGAAACCCCCCCCCCCCCACTGCTAATCTGTGAAGACAATTGTGGCCACTGAGCAGAAACTAAACTGACTAGTTGATCGGCTTATGTCTAGTCAACCTCTTCAGGCCTGGCGAGTTTGGCAGGTGAAATTGTTCGATGCGAAATTTCCCAGCATCCCTCATCGTTTCCCGTGTGACATAATTAAAGCCCTTTGGGAAGGCGTTGGCAGACACACTCCAGCCTCCCTTACTTGAATGAAATATTCCTCTCTAGGAAACTGTATTCTGAGCACCTTACCTACTGTATATCTGCAGAGTACAATCCCTATAAAAATTTGCTTTGCCTAATATATTCCTGAATAGTCGTGAAGTTCAAAACCCAAGTGCCCCACCCACCCATGGAAGGTGATACGGTAGTAAATCCATCCAATTTTATTCCTGGGTTGGAGCCTGGCTTGTTTCGCAGGCAGGGGAATGCAGTTTAGAAGATTTATACCCCACCCTTCACTAAGTCGCAGAGCGGCTTACAATCCCCTTCCCTTCCCCTCCCCATAACAGACACCCTGTGAGGTGGGTGGGGCTGACAGAGCTCCTTTGAGGACTGCTCTTGAGAGAACAGCTCTGAAGAGAACTTGTGACTGACCTAAAGTCACACCAGCAGCTGCATGTGGAGGGGTGGGGAATCAAACCCGGTTCTCCCAGATTAGAGTCCGCGCTCTTAACCACTACACCAAATTTAGCTCCGTGTCCCCTACACTGCAGCCCCCAGCAAAGACTTTTCGGGAGACTGCCGGGGAGAGTTGGTGGAAGTTCTGCTATAAACGTCTGCCACCTATAAGTTACCACCCAGCTCTGGATGAGGGGAGCCAGTAACAAGCCCTGCCTTACAATGGCCCCGCCTACATTCTGAAAAGGGGATCAAGGGGTATTGGCAGGCAGCACGGTGCCCACGGGCGCCCCGTTGGGGAACCTTGCGCTAGTGAGACTCTGATTTATCATCTTTTTCTGTGTGTCCTTTAAGCGTGAGTCTCCGGAGTCCTGACTTAGCGCTTTTTCTTATGTTCCAAATAGGTTGGTGACAGCCGACGTAGCTTTCTACACTGGAAACCTTCAAGCTTTGAAAGGGCTTCAGACCCTGGACTTAAACATGGGTGAGATCTGGGAACAGAAGAGGTGATAATTCGGCAGCGCAGCAGGTTATCCCCCTCGGCATGGGATAGCAGCTGCTGCTTCTGAGAAGGCGAAGAAGTGGAACCTAGAAGAGGAAATTCCCTTGACGTTTGGTGAAAACCGGGGCCTTTGTGACCTTTGGGGGAGAGTATTTCCGTAAGAGAAGACGGGAGCGATCAGTTTCTGTCTGTGGAATTTCTTCATGCTGTTCGGAACCAGGCTCAGGTTTCTTTGGACCAAATCCAAAAGAATACATGGCTGTAACACAGCCGCCGTTGTCTAGAGAGTGCGTTGTCAGTCTTTGTATTGAAAAGAAAGCGGCTCTGCATTCCCTCTAGTGCAATGAAATTCTCATGGTGTCTCTCACCTTTATTTAAGTTGACGATACAGTTTGGAAATCCTTGCAAAATTCTATAAAACGTTTTCCACTATAAAACTGTTCTAAAGTTATTTTTTTACAGATGTTTCTATACTCTTTTGATTTTACCTGCATACCGCAAAGATGTGTTAGGGGGTGGCGCATTCTGAAGTAGTTCTAGGAGCTGTTCTGTGATGACAAGGTCGTGAAAACAACGCTGTAGAGAGGGCCCCTGGTTCTTCCGGGATGAGCAGTCTACTCGAGATCTTGAAAACAACATTGTAGAGATGGCCCCTGGTTCTTCCAGGACAAGTGGCCTACTCAAGATCTTGAAAGCAACGCTGTAGAGATGGCCCCTAGTTCTTCCGGGACAAGTGGTCTACTCAAGATCTTGAAAACAACGCTTAAGAGATGGCCCCTAGTTCTTCCGGGACAAGTGGTCTACTCAAGATCTTGAAAACAGTGCTGAAGAGATGGCCCCTAGTTCTTCCGGGACAAGCGGCCTACTCAAGATCTTGAAAACAATGCTTAAGAGATGGCCCCTAGTTCTTCCGGGACAAGTGGTCTACTCCTAAGGACATGTTTTATATAATGGGTACAGTTTCCAGGCATTAATTGTCTCAGAACCTGGGGTTTTAATTTGCCAATTTCTACATATACCTTACCTTCTGTTCTCTCTACCTTTCCACCCAGTTAACTTTATTTGAAAGATGCAATTGTAGTAGTCCATCCTACACGGCAAGTGCCGTGCTCGATGCGGTGTGACTAACTTCTATCAAAGTTTGGGGTTTGGTTTTAACGCTACATTTCAGGCTGGTCCCTGCCTGTCCAAAGTAACGAAGTGCCTGTGCATTTCCTCTCACCACATTTGACATAAACCTAGTGAGTGCCTATTCGTGTGATGATTGTGTACGATGGATACAGTGTTTTGTGTGTGCCTCTGGTTTCAGCGGACAAGGCATGCCTCTCTGTTAACATGAGCAGAAGTCATTTGTCAACCAAAATAAAGCTATAAAATGAGCTGTTTAAAGAGACCAACTTCTTTCATGGTAGGTGTTTGGTGTTAATAGCAACATCTCACCCGCTCTCTCTCTCACACACACACAAAACCTGAGACTGATTTTTCCAGGCAAGGGGGATGGTATTTGATTTTTATTTCAGTACCTGTACAGATGTTGACGTTTGCATCTATTAATTGTGGGAACACATGATCCGACTGCATGGACGTTACACCAATGAGGAGACTCGTTCTGTTATTTAAGAAGTAGAACGGAGCATGTGGAGGTACCACGAGAGAAGCGAGAAGAAGAAAGCGGCTGATGAAGACAGGAGTTAACAATCCCGATGCTTCCATCGCACGTGTCTTTTTCTTTGGGTAAGTAACACAAGACTGACAACACACCAGCTCCAGAGCAGAATAAAACGTGAGGTATCGAACTTTTCTTTCAGAGTAGCATAGCTTGAAGTACACATAAGGTAGGTGAAGTCGTCATGTGAGCAACTTCAGTACTAGATATTTTTTTTAACCATTTATTTGCCTCAGTAGCAAAACGTCTGGTTTTTATTTTTTTAAACTTGAGGGAGTCATTTTACACTTCATGACGTAGCTGAAATTAATAGTCAATGGCATCTTGCTTCACAGCTTTTTTCAGTTTACAAGCAAAACTCACGGAACGTTAGCACGTCAAACGTCTTAACGCAAGAGCTGCCTGCCTTTTCTTAAGACAAGTAATATTGCACTTTCGGTTATATTAATTCTGAGTTAAATCGTTCTAGAAACTGGCTTTCGGCATCTTCCGGAAAGAACAGGAAAAATCTACTTGGAAAATAATACTGGAGGATAACTAAGTGGGTAACTAATAGAGGACCCTCTGCGGACACATGTCTAATGCCGACAGGTGCTTCCAGTTGGTGGGGCGGGACTGACAGTTCACAGCCGCTCAGTGATCCAGGATGCGAAGATTGCCGGAGACGATTTTGTTCTCCAAAACTGCTCCTGGCGGTATATCTATCCTGTCTCCGTGGTTCGCAATAATGATGACCGTGCCCTGGAGATCAAACAAAAATAAACACGTTTAGCTGATGAATGAACCCTCAGCCGTATGAGCAGTCAAGAGAACAAAAAAACCTTATATCTCAGAGACACAAGTCTCCGACCCATTTATTCCTGAGTAAGCCACCGTTGACTTTAAATCCAACTCCTCTGGAATAGAATTGCAGAGGTTCAAAGATCGAGGAGCCCTCCTGTCTGAGCTCATCTTGTCTCGAGGTCAAAGTGCAGATAATGCCACAGACAAAAGATCAAGAAAGTGATTTCTTGCAGCGGAAGTTTTCAGGAACTCGAACCCTGACTTCATCAGATGCTGCAGGAAGGACAACCTGCTGCACATGCGGAGGAACAGAATAAATAGTAGTGTGACCAAAAACCTAACAGAACATAGTCCACCTAGACAAAGCATGGTGGCTCTTGGACAGTTAAGGCTTAACACTGGTCCTTAAACTTCTGGAAACTCGGAACCACTTCTAACCTACACCCTACTTTTCAGGACTTCTTTGCTTGTCCCCCTCCCAGGGGTAAAATGCAGGAGACATCCGTTAACCCTGAGTAAGTTTATATTTTCCACGTTTAGTATTTATAAATATATAGCATCAGGGGTCATTTCCTGCAGGAGCACACAGGAGCGGAGCTCCGGCAGTAAAGAGACCAGGGGGCGGGCACATGCAACAAGCCCCACCCCTTGTTCTCAGCAGGTAAGCTGCAGAGCCCCCCCCCGCCCCCCAGTCCAAAACAGTCCAGTGGCACCTTTAAGACCAAGTTACACTGGAGGATGAACAAGTGCATGAACCTGAGAGGGCATGGCTGGTGTTGTTAGGTCCAGTTATTGTGTGGTCAAAGTGGGTATGGGGACTGAGCCGGCATCTTGGTTTGTTGCAGGCCCTGGCCCCAGAGCCCGTGTCCGTGTTAGGAAGGGTGTCGCCAGAGTTGAGAGCTGTATTGTGACCACCAGTGCTGTTGTTTCGTTTGGACCTCTCTTGTAGCAAGTTGCCCCTTGCTATCATTCTGGCTTTGTCGATCTGTTTCCTTACTACATCAGGTGGCTATTGCAATTCCAAGAATGTCTGTTGTACATCTTTGCAGGGAAGAATCTCTTTCTCAGGGATTGGAATAGATCCAGCTGTAGTGTAGCAAAACAGCCTTTTCACACATTAATAATCTGTCGCGCTGTACAAATCACATTAGAGACTACTTGCAACCAAAATTAATACACATAACAAATAGTTTCGCCACCACGCATTAATGATTACTGCACCGGTTGAATAGCCTCATAGTCCTTGAAAGTGTGAGTCTCTCTTCAGATCGATGCGGTCACCGGCCCATGGTGCAGAGAAGAGTTTCCAGACGAAAGCACGCGGTAGATGGTATGAGCTCGGGACTACCTATAGTGTGAACCCAAAGGAGCGGTGACGGCACACCTAGGTTGCTTTGCCGTTTCTTAGGGCTTCATCGAGTGGCTTTTCTTTAGGCTCCAGCCTGATCCCTAGCTACCTGGAACATACTTGTAGACTTTGTGTCATTTTGAATCGAGCTGGGTGGGGCTCCATCACTAAAGAAAAGCAGCCTGATGAGGGCCGAAGAAACGGCAAAGCAACCTAGGCGTGCCGTCGCCGCTCCTTTGGTTCGGGCTATAGCTAGGCCTGAGCTCATGCCGTCTACTGTGTGCTTTCTTTGCGAAACTCTTCTCCACTGCGAGGAAATCGATACATGTCCATATCGTGAAGGGTTGGCATGATGCACCGTGAGCCGGTGACCACATCAACCTGAAGAGAGACTTGTACTTTCAAGGACTATTTGGTCACTATTCAACTGGTGCAGCTGACATTTATGCGTGGTGGCAAAGCTATTTGTGATGTACATTAATTTTGGTTGTAAGTAGACAGTTTGGTGTCAATAGGGATGGGAAAACCGCATTTCAAACATAACCAGTGCAAGGACACCAGAAAGATACTTTAACTAAAAAGAAGCTAGACGTTCCACATATCTGCACACCACAAACGTTATAACTGAGGGTTTACAACAGACGGTGTTAAACACATTTTGGCCCCAGTGAGGCCATGATGGAACGTATTTAACACTTGTTCTCCACCAACAGAACACTATCCAGGGGCAGAGGTGTGATTTCTGCCAGCTTCTCCTCCACCTACAGAACCCCAGATCAAATCACTGTTGTTCCTTGGGGGGGGGTTGTTTTATTTATACTGTATTTTATAATCAATTTATACCGTACGCCGCCTTGCGTTCCACAAGGGAGAAGCAATGCTCCCTCTAAGCTGAGGAGTCATGTGAGCAAAAATTCTACTTTGTGAGCTACGGGCATTAAAGCTGTGAGCGAGCGATTGGGCTGCTGTATCAATCCGTTTGCTCTGGAGCCCTCCTTCCTGAGCGAAGGCAAATATCTGTGAGACGGAGGCTAAAAAACTGTGAGCTGGCTCATACTAACTCAGCGTAGAGGGAACCCTGGAGACAGGTAGTGAATAAATGTTTTACTTTAGCACAACACTTCAGCCGCTAAAAGGTAGAAATGCCTCTACTGGAAAACATACTAAACACTACAACATTTGAATAGTCTTGTTTCGGGTATCGACACTATGATTGCTTCTATAGATTTCCTTGAAGACCGAGAGAGATGCCACTTTCCATATAACACACTATATAGAAGAGGAGGAGGAGATTGGATTTATACCCTGCCCTTTACTACTCTAAGGAGGCTCAGAGAGGCTTACAATCTCCTTCCCTTCCTCTTGTGAGGTAGGTGGGACTGAGAGAGCTCTTTCAAGGACTACTCTTGAGAGAACAGCTCGTGAGAGAACTGTGGCTTGCCCAAGGTCACACCAGCAGCTGCATGTGGAGAGCGGGGAATCAAACCCGGTTCTCCCAGATTAGAATCCAAACTCCTAACCACTACACACAACTGGCTCTCCATATACCCTTTCAGCTGTCGACACTGATCTCTAATAACTGAAAAGCAGGACCGTGTTTAAACTCAAGGCCACCTGCCAAACCGGATATGTCTTCAGCCAGCGGCATTCGTACACCGCAGTATTTTCCGTGCATGAAGAAGACAAGCAAAAGCAAAGGGATTCCACCGTTTCTACACAGCCAAGTTGGTTCGACCAACCTTTAACGCGACATTCTTGCCAAAGGTGACGTCTCCTGAAACCGTAAGGTGATCCAGTTCAAGCATATCGGGTATGCTCTCAAACCTCCTCAGGTAATCTTGAACCTTTTTTAAAAAACACAAAAACAGAGAAGCAAGTTGGTTGGTAACATTTCCAAGCAATTATGTGTTTAGGGGTTTCCAGCTCGGGACCGGGAAGTACCTGGAGATATTTTTTGGGGGGGGAGTTTGGAGCCTCAGGAGGGCAGGGTTATACCCTGCCCTTCACTCGGAGTCTCAGAGCGGCTTACAAACTCCTTTCCCTTCCCCTCCCCACAACAGGCAGGTAGGTGGGGCTGAGAGAGCTATTTGTGAGGTAACTTGTGACTGACCCAAGGTCACACCAGCAGCTGCCAGTGGAGGAGTGAGGAATCAAACCCAGTTCTCCCAGATTAGAGTCCCCGCTCCTAACCACTATACCAAACTGAAGAAGAGATTGGATTTATACCCCGCCCTTCACTCAGCGTCTCAGAGCAGCTTACAATCTCCTTTCCCTTCCCCTCCCCACAACAGACACCCTGTGATATTAGTGGGGCTGAGAGAGCTCTTTCAAGGACTGCTCTTGAGAGAACAGCTCTGAGAGAACTTGTGACTGACCCAGGGCCATGTCGGAAAAATTGGCAAAATAGTTAAAATATTCAGAGATTGCAATGGATCTTTGCTTCACTGGAGAGGAGGCATTCTCTTTGTAAAGATCTTTATTTCTAAAGGGTTAGGGTTCACGGGAGAATCTACAAGACAACAAACACACTTAAGACTACAGGCTTGCAACAACAGACACACAGACAGTAATGGAGATTGTTCCTTTCTTCTTGACCCCTAGAAGGAAATCACCTGAATGCGTTAACCAATGATTGTTAATAAATAGGCTTCAGTTTCCCCGGGCTCTCTTCCCATTGCCTCTGTGCCAGGTTCCCTTCCAGGTCAGTCTAAACAATAGCACACGAGGTGAACACAGAGTAACCCTATAACGACTGGATTTCAGACCTTGAAACACACATATTTCCAACAGGTCACACCAGCAGCTGCAGGTGGAGGAGTTGGGGAATCAAACCCAGTTCTCCCAGATCAAAGTCCGCACACTTAACCACTACACCAAACATATTCATTAGTACAACATTAATGAAGCGCACTAAAATCAGCAGAACATTAAAAACATACAGTGTGCCTCCACAGATTATATTAATTCCAGCGATGTTATAGTTTCAGTTGGCTTCTAGGATCTGCAGTCACTGGAGGGGGGGGGGCAGATTTGAAATGGATGCCTGGCGGAAGAGCTCCGTCTTATAGGCCCTGCGGAACTGTAACAGGTCCCGCAAGGCCCTGATTTCATAAGTTAGCTCATTCCACCAGGTAGTGGCCGGGGTCGAAAAAGCCCTAGCCCCAGATGAGGGAAGTCAGACAGCCAAGAGCTGCTGGTTTGTAGAACGCAATGTTCTACGGGGCTCATGGGGGAAGAGGCAGTCTTGAAGATATGCTGGCCCCTGGCCATATGGGGCTTTAAAGGTAAGCACCAACACCTTGAAATGGATCCAGTATTGATAGACAGCCAGTGCTGTTCACGCGATGTCGTCACCCGGAAGTGATGTCATCAGCGATCGCAGCAGGCCTGTCGCCAGGGGGGGCGCGCTAGCATTTGGCCGGAAACTCTATGGTACAATAGAGCTTTTAGGCCGAATGCTGGAGCATCCCCCGGCAATGTGCCCAACGTGATCCCGGCACTTTGGGGAACTACTTAGTGGCTGGGGAAGGAGATAGCCCACTCGACATACACTTGGGTTTTACAAACCTTATCCCCCTCCCTACCAGCTTTCAGTGACGTAGAAAAGAAGAGGAGGAGGAGAAGGACAAGGAGGAGGAAGAGATTGGATTTATACTCTGCCCTTCACTCGGAGTCTCAGAGCGGCTTACAATCTCCTTTCCCTTCCCCTCCCCACAACAGGCACCCTGTGAGGTAGGTAGGACTGCCCTTGAGAGAACAGCTCTGAGAGAACTTGTGACTGACCCAAGGTCACACCAGCAGCTCCATGTGGAGGAGTGGGGGAATCAAACCCGGTTCTCCCAGATTAGAGTCCGCGCTCCTAAACACTACGCCAAACTGGACATTTCAAGCAATGCAGCAGAGTAGAACAGATCCACCACACTTCCGCATAAGCGGCTGTAGCTGCATCAGCTGTTAGCTACGAAACTGCCTGACCCAGGCAAACTGATTTGTGCGTCAGACAGATTCGTAGGATCGGACGCATTCTGTGAACATTTCATTCCTATACTATGCATTTCTGCTTTTTTCCTCCCAATTAAAAAAAAATCCAACCCTTCCGCTCACCTTCGTGAAAGAGCTTCCCAGTTTAACCAGCGGCACAGTAGGGAACTCCCGCTTCTCACTCATCGTCAGAGATCCAGCGTTCAGGCTATACAGGTTGGACATCACCAGGAGAAGATCGGAGGTGGTCTTGACGGGCAAGAAACGGCTGCGAGGCACGTTTATCCCCAGAGAATTCTCAAAGCTTTTGACGGCAGCACCGACGGCGGTCTCCAGCTGAATGACGTTCAAGCCACCGTCCAAAGTCTGCCAGAGAAAAGCTCAATCAGTACGGTTGTAAGCAGTGTTCCCTCTAAGCCGAGTTAGCGTGAGCTAGCTCACAGTTTTTTAGCCTCCAGCTCACACATTTCTGTCTTAGCTCAGGAAGGAGGGCTCCAGAGCAAACTAATTTATGCAGTAGCCGAATCGCTCACTCACAACTGTAATGCCAGTAGCTCAGAATTTTTGCTTATAAGACTCCACAGCTTAGAGGGAGCACTGGTTGTAAGTAACTCCTCAACCTCATTAGCCGTATCGGTAATGTCAGGTTAAGGTTTTTAAGCTTCTGAACCCATGAAGCTTAGCAAATGGGAAAGACTTCCTCCAATCTGGTTAAGATTGAACAGGAAATATTTGACACGACACCACATTCTTCTATTTACGTTCTTTATAGACCGCCTTTCTCACTTTGTCTCAAGAAGGAATTACACAGAGTGAGTCAATAAAATTGATGGGATGGGGGACCTTTGATACAACAGGATTAGGGTTGTAGAACTAATCAGAAATCTAAAAACAGAACTGAAGCAAAGCATATGCATTAACATGATGATGATGATCAGTGTTCCCTCTAAGCTGAGCTAGTGTGAGCTAGCTTGCAGTTTTTTAGCCTCCAGTTCACACATTCTTGTCTTCACTCAGGAAGGAATGGCTCCAGGGCAAACTAATTTATGCAGTAGCCAAATCACTTGCTCACAACTTTAATGCCAGGAGCTCACAAAGTAGGATTTTTGCTCACGAGACCCCACAGCTTAAAGGAAGCATTGACGACGACGATAATTTATTGCTGTCCACAACCAGATACAAGTTCACAGAGCAAATCATTTTTAAGACGTGTTAACGTAACGAATGACAGGATACAAAGACTACACAGTAGGAACATAGTTCCGGTAAGCTGAACACAGCAGTACAGACCACAGTCCCTAATAATTTTTCTAAGTAACTTTGTGAATCGTACTGCATTAAGAATTATTTAAAGTATACAGTAACGAACATCGGTGTAGAAAAGAGCAAAGAGTCCAGAAGCACCTTAGAGATTAACGAAATTTGTGGCCGGGTTATGAGCTTCCGTGAGTCACTACTCACTTCTGAAGAATCCCGCATTAAGCGTTATTTAAAGTATACATTAATGAACAACGGTATAGAAAAGAGCAAGAGTCCATCAGCACCTTAAAGACTAACAAAACTAACAAAATTTGTGGCAGTGGCTCATGAAAGCTCATACCGACGAAAGCTCCTCCCCCGCCACAGATTTTGTTAATCTTTAAAGTGCTCCTTGACTTTTGCCTCTTTTCTGCTGCTACAGACTAACACGGCAACCCATCTTGATCAAACGATACTGTCGTTATTGTGGACTTGTTCGCCATGGCCTCAGTACTTCTGCACAGATGTAGATAAGAGCCAGAGTTCAGGGGCACCTTTGAGACTTAACAAAACCTGCGGCAGGGGAGGAGCTCCTGAAAGTCGCTGCTCACTTCTTCAGATAAGCTCAACCTCACGAAAGCTCCTCCCCTGCTACAAATTGTGTTAGTCTTCAAGGTGCTGCTGGACTCTGACTTTCTGCTGCTACAGACAGACATGGCTTCCCATCTTGATCTATCTGCACAGATGGGTCCCCACTAAACAAAGTCCTCGCCTCATTCCCCCACCATGACTTCCGGGTAGAGATCTGAAGGCCCAGGGGGGGGGAAATGGTTTTCCCCCGTTTTTTTCCTGAAGCCTTTTTTGTTTTTTTCCGAAAAATTGGAAAAATTGAAAAAAGAAAAGGAAAAAAAAATTGAGTATGGAACGTTTTATTTTAACGTGATGAATAAAATATTTTAAGACAAGGTGTTCAAATGTTTTCCAAATCATTTCTAAAAAATATGTATGGTGTCAGATTGATCTGATTTCTGTGCACTGAGGACAAGCTAGACCTAGGTTACAAACTGAACTCTCCAGTGCAAGAACAAGATGCATTTCTTCCTTCAGGAGGTGCTATTGTCACAAGAAAAGGAAAAGGTTTTAGTTTTGTCTTTGCATGTGGGTGGGTATTCTGTTTGTAATAATTGTTTGGATACACTATATTTTTAATATGCGTGTTGTGATAATTTCATGCCAAGTAAAAATGTCCATAGTCATATTTTATGTTCCTAAAGTAACAGAATGACTTTCAATCTGGAAAAGAAAAAAGAAGTGCTAATGTAGCATTTTTTTTCAATTTTTCTCTTTTCCCACGGGGAAAAAACGGGGTTTTTTCCAAGTTTCAAAATTTCCGGAAATTTTACATCTCTACTTCCCAGCATTCCATATCCCAACCCGTTAATCTCGTTCCCTCCACATGGTCTCAAGACACAAGCCTGGAGCTTGCCCTCATCAACAGAGAGGTAAGAGCGGACAGGACACGAGAGACGCGCCCCTAATGGCTAGATGGGGGAGCCTACCTATGGGAGTCTCCATACACAGACACTAAATTTGTAGTTGCAGCAAATTAGCAACCCCATAGGCCAAGGACAGCTTACGCAACAACTCCCATCATCTTATCTAACATCCAAACAGAAGATTGATTTATTGTGTTTATATCCCGCCCAGCCCGCAGACAGGCTCAGGGCAGGTAACATCATTATAAGGTAAAAGGTAAAGGTGTTCCCTTGCTCGAAAGCCAGTCGAGTCCGACTCTAGGGTTGCGGTGCTCATCTCCGTTTCAAAGCCGAAGAGCCAGCGCTGTCCGAAGACGTTTCCGTGGTCATGTGGCC